CTACCTAATATAATATCAGAATAAAGGCATATTAAATTCAACTTTTGGCTCGTACTTCTTTATTTTGCCATATAATTGAAAGTTATCCACTGTTATATATAATAAATATATTTTGCATTAGGTCTCTTACTCAAAATATTTCGACATTATTTGACAATTTAACATTTAATTCTCAACTCGTATTGAGTCTTTTATAGCTGAGTAGGAATTGCTTTGTTTTAGTTGAAATATGTATTAGGTTTTCTTAGCTTATGACTGCTGTAAAAATAATAATAGCAAGTTCTTTTCTAAGCGATATTTAAATTAATAAAATTACCCAGTTGCAATAATATAGGTTTATTGGCATAATAAATCAATTTGTATCAAATTACTCTAAAACAATCGATCAGATCTAGGGGATCAAATCTAATTTTGTCAACTTTTCATGGTCGAGCTTTGATATTTACTATACATCTATGTTTTTAAATAAACAGGAATTCTTTTAAATGGTCTGGCAATAGAACAAAATCTTGTATCTTAATAGAAAAATTGATTAAGAACTAAAAATAAGAAAGTCAAATACAATCGAAACCAAATCGAATTCTAATAAAATATTAATATATATCAATATTAATATTAATTCACCCTTTCTGCCCTTTAAATTTTATGAATTGTAAATGTTTCGTTATATATTTTTCCGTCAAACTACGAAAACCTCTTTTAAAATAGAATTAGTTCATAGACTAAAGAATAACTACAAATTTAAAAAATATTCCTTATTCCATCAATAAAGTATACTTATTTACTTGCTTAATGTCAAAATTTTATTCGACAATTAAATAAACTATATCTTACAAAAATCTGCAAGTTATTTTACATTTACCGAATATAGTTTATAATTTGGAATAAATTGGAAATATGTCCAAAATATATTAATTATTATATAGAATATTACGAAGTAATTCTTGAGTATAAGTAGTATAGTTGATGATCTTCCTATAATCTATCGATAAACTAAGATAAAATATTTGGTTGTGAAATAAGCCTACCTTAAACATCTGGATAGGTGGAGAAGCAGAAAACCTTGGTATAGATGACCTTTTTTGGTTTAGATTTGGCTCTAAATGAGACTCTATTTCAACTTGTCTGCAAATAGATGATTTTTTCATTTTTACTTTCAAGTGGCTTTTGATGAAATTGAGTCCTTGGCATGACGTTTTTTCATTTTTTTCAACTTGATGCGATTCATTTTCTACGCCACATATAAATTGATTTTGTTCTTCAATGCTTTTGCTAGGTCCAGGAATACGTTCATTTAAGTAGTCATCTATAAGCAGACCTTTCTGCCTCTGAAGGTATCTTTTTCTTGCTTTCGCAATGGAGTTCTTTCTCTGAATAAATGTCCTATGATCTTTTTCAGTAACATTATTAAAAACGCTTCCCGATCTGGGCGTATGATGTGCAGTTAGGGCCGAGGTATATATTCGAGGGTATCTCATGTACTCTGATAAATGGGTCGATGGTTCACTTGTATTGAGTCCAAGTTCTGTAGTCAAACCAAAACCATTACTTAAATGGCCTGACTTTTTTGACTCTATTGCATCAGATGGTGAAATGAATGAGTGAGGATTTGCTATTAAATGAGACTCGTGAATCATTATGCTTGGTTTGGGCATACCGAGAGATAGAATTGTTAAATTTACTGGTTCTTTTTGATAAAACTTATTGTTAACTGTTGAGAAAAGTGGTTCTTCGTGCAGCACCTGATGAAAATCAATTGGATTTTGAGGCTGCACTTGGGAATTTCTTAAAATGTTTTGTGGCTGATTAAGATTAGGGTTATGTAAAAGATTATAATAACTATGAAGAAATTCCGGCGAATAGCTTGAGGGGGATAGTTCTAACGGCGTAGGAGGGTGTGGATAAATAGCAAAGTTTGGCTTTGAAATACTAGATGCACAAGGTAGTGTAACAAAAGGTACTCCGACGCCTAAGCAGATGCCAAGGTCGAAGCTTGATTTGCCTGTAACCTTTCCAATAGGCGAATATTTATCAAAAGAGGAATTTGAATTGACCTGTCCATTCGGGAATGAGCGCGCTGTAAGCAACAACATTTGATCTTGATTACAGAAGTAGGCATAGCTAGAAGGATTTTGTAAATGGGATTGAGATTCATCATGTGGTACCGGATGCCTGATGATCGATGCACCCCTAAACTGTTGACTTAAGGAGCTAGGGAACAAGCAAGTCGAGAATGGCTTAGTCCGATATGGCACTGTGGCTTCCCGAGGCGGTGACTAAGCATCACATGAACAATTTTGACAGGATAAAAAAAGAGGCATTTGTGGTGATAATCTGAGGAAAGAAGTTTAAAAATCAAATTAATTGTTCGAATTAATCAAGAAAAGCATAGTAGATAAGTCCCGGTGCGGCAATATAATGGATAACTGGGATTATCTTACTCATTTAATTAAAAAGCTTTTTGAATGATACCTACCGAATAAAGATATAATTTTCTCTTGACTATAGTAGAATATCATAAATTTGGTTTACTATCTCTTCTACAAATAGCAGATTAAATCTTAGGTTGACATAACTCTTAACTACTGGAGCGACTCCTTGGTCCAAGCATTTTAGGATATGCTACCTTTGGGCAGAACATCCTGCTGCCTCCTCAATTAATTAGGAAATGCAATCCGAAGGCCTATTTGTGTTTGAGTATTAAAGAAATAGTGGACTGTCAAAAACTGAAGGATAAAAATACTAATGATGCCATAATTAATTAAGTTATCACATCTGTCGGCCACTACAATAGAATAGGATAGCACAACTGCTCTTTCTAAAGATCATTAAATCCAAAAGAATTACTTTCTAAAATAAATTGATAACTATCTTTGCGTAAAGAAATTATGGCTTTAATAAGGTTAAATTTAAACATTTGTAAAGTGTTAAAAGTTTATTTCAATGTATTTATGTATAGATATGACTATATTAATAAGGTCTAACCTTCTGAACCTTAAGCGATCCTAGTTAAACTTTGATTAAGGTTATGGCTTTACACTTAATCATGCATGCTAAGGTCTACTGCTCCAAGGAGGCTGATAGACTTACCTCTGCAAATATGATACATAGGTACTTTATGCATTTGGCAATAGATTGGCTATTTCCTGATATCATCACGGTTCTTTCAGTGGAGGCAGGTAGTGCTTCACTTGCCACTTGGATCGAGGCACCAGTAAGCTAAAATTTAAAAATATATTGGTATTTACTTTCATAAATTGAATATTATTATAGATTTCTGTGTATAAAGGAGATACATTTTGACCAAAAACTATTAAGTCTATTTATTATTAAGGTAAACTATTTTATTATAGTCTTCAAATGTACTTTGGAAGGATCTAGCAAAAATGTGGGCTAAGCTAGAGGCATAAAATTGCATTTTGCATTTAGTTAACTAATTTGTAAACATCCTTTCTTAGCAGAATAAGATAATCTCGAAAATGTATTTGTCAAAGGAATACTTTGTGAGAATATCACTTAATTCTAGATGAGTATGGTTCATATTCAAATAAAATCATCCTGAGAGTCCAATGATTTCTCAACTCTTCAGGTATTTACATAGAATTGTTTGTCTTTATATCAAATATTTTGATTTAAACAAGATTGATTCTTGATAAAAGTATGCGCAAATTCAAAAGATTCAATGATCCAATGAATGGAATTTATAAAAATGAAAAGTATTTTTAGATAAGAATATTCCAATTAAGTGAAAGAAGAGCTCCAGCTAATTGAGTGATTCAGCAACACTAAAATATACTTTTGTAACTTTTGAAATTTTCGCAGCATAGGCAATGTTGCTGACTGATATTTTTAATATTCTAGAGGATATCATGAGAAACTAGTTTCTTAGATATAAATAACTATCTAAGATTTTCTGGTGTTGAAATGATTCAGTTAAAATTTAATATGATCGGTAATATGTAGTGTCACAGACCGGCTACTTGTAAATTTTGCGAAAACATTTCAACTTTACTTCAACTTGCGCAACTTTCAGTCAAAATTAAAGTAACAGAGGCAACACATACATTATTTATTATATAATTCATGGGATTACAAGAAATTTAAGTAAAACTTTGTGTTAAATAAAAAATATTT